GCTCTACCACTGAGCCACCTTCCCATATGCTGAAAATTTTAAAGATTTTCTTCAGTGCTGCTTTTCTTATAATGGACTATATGAGACTTACTAACCTATTAGCCAGTGACTCAAAAGCTGAAATAAGAGTAATCTTTCCTGAAATACGTGGGCTTATCCTGGGCTTAGTTTGCTCATGTGCATTGCTTTAGAAAAAGTCCTCTGGCTTTAAATAAATTATTATTTTCTTAAAATCTCAACTTACTTTCTAAATTTCTCCTAGGTTATTTTAAAAAATAATATATATATTCCATTAAAATAATGTATATGCATTATAGAAAACTTGTAAAATATAAGGGAATGGGAAGAAAACAAGACTACCCAAAGACAAGAATTTCAATATTTTTAATAATTTTTTTCTGTATTTATTTATAGATTTTTACCTCATATTTGTTTTCAGCTACTGTAATAACTTTTAATATTTGTATCTTATCTTAACACTGCCTAAGAAATTTCACATTATAAGCTTTTTCTAAATACCTTTTAATTTTTTTATTGTTATTATAAAGGTGATATACAAGGGGGTTACAGTTACATAAGGCAGGTAAAGAGTACATTTCTTTTTGGACAATGTCACCCCTTCCCTCGTGCTCTCCCATTTTTCTTCCCATCTCTACCCACAAGTTGTATAGTTTTCAACATAGTGTCTAGTGTGTATCACTGCTGCATTTGTTCACCCTAAATACTATAAAAAATAATTTTATTGTTATTATTAATGTGTTGTACAGATGGGCTACCATAACATATGTCAGGTAATGAGTACTTTTTTTTGGACAATGTCACCTTCTTTTGCTTTCCCTCAGTTTTCCCTCTCTCATCCCTGCCCACAAGTTACATGGGTCATTTTCCACATAGTATATACTGAATTGCATGGCTGCATTTGTTCATCCTTCCTTCCTCTCCTTCTGTACCCTTTTCCTTACCCCCAAAAAAGAAAAAGAAAAAAAAAAGGCAAAGCAAAAACAAACACTACCCACCACCACCAACAACAACAAAAAACTATTTTGCCACTTACTGGAGTTCATTTTCTAAACACCTTCAATAGCAGCAACCTATCCAGTGTACTAACCAGCTCATTTTGCTGGACATATGACTTGTTTCCAGATTTTCCCTTCAATAAATAACAAGGCGCTGAAAAAACTCTGTATACCAAAGTGCTTTTCCACAACTGAGATTATCTTCTTAGAATATGTTCTCAGAAAAAGAATCACTAAAGAAGTTCTTTTGTTTTATAGTACAGTAGTTTGAACTGAGAGCCTTGTGCTTGTTACATGGATACTCGATGCGAAGCCATAACCCCAGCCCAAGAGCTCCAATTTTTTTTATAAAGTATCATAATAAAAAAATAAATTACAGGGGCTGGGAAGGTGGCTCAGTGGTAGAGCGCTTGCCTTGCATGCATGAGGCCCTGGGTTCGATTCCTCAGCACCACATAAGCAGAAAGAAAAAAAAAAGCCGGAAGTGGCGCTGTAGCTCAAGTGGTAGAGTGCTAGCCTTGAGCTGAAGAGCTGAGGCACAGCGCCCAGGCCCAGAGTTCAGGTCCCACAACCGGACCCCCCCAAAAAAAATAATAAATTACAGGGCTGGGAAGGTGACTCAGTGGTAGAGTGCTTGCCTTGTATGCCTGAGGCCCTGGGTTCGACTCCTCAGCACCACATAAGCAGAAAAAGCCAGAAGTGGTGCTGGAGCTCGAGGGACAGCACCCAAGCCCAGATTCAAGCCCTACAACCGACAAAAAATAAATAAAAATAAATAAATAAATTACACTTCTAAGTCTATATATGAAATAGATTGATGCTCAAAGGGTTCAAAGGGATCTTTCTTATAAACAAATCGTTTCCTGACAGGGAAAAACATGAGCTTCATTACTTTAACGTGAGCCTCATTATTCTAATGAAAAGATCATGGGGCTGGAAAAGAGTTGATAGTTTAGTTGGATTTTTTTTCATGAATGAGTGGCATATGCCTTGAGACCTATTCAAGAATTCATATACATAATTCACACACACCAAACTTTAGTGTTGAAATTTAGTGATAGGCAAACAAATGAATATGTTTGAAATGTTTCCTAATAAAGGTTTTAAAGCAAGACTAGTATAGATTGTGAATGTAGCTCTGAGGTAGGGTGCTTGCCTACCATGCACAAGGTCGCAGGTTCAGTTCCCAGCACTTCAAAACAAAAACAATTAGATTAAATTAACATAGGAATATGTCTGAAAAATCCCAAGAGATTCTGTCACATAAGATATGTGATATCTGATGTTCAATTCTGTCTTAACCATAACATACTGGCATCTGGGCACCAGTGCCTCATGTCTGTAATCCTAGCTACTCAGGAGGCTGAGAGCTGAGGGCCACAGTTCAAAGCCAGCCTGGGCAGGAAAGTCTGAGACACTCATCTCCAATTAACCACCAAAAAGCAGAAAGTGGAGCTGAGGTTCAAGTGGTAAATTAAAAAAAAAAAAAAAAAAAAAC